AAATGAAATAGAGTGTAGAAGTTTTTTTCGAGAATCCCGTATGAAATATAACGAGATGTAAGAGTAAAAGTATCAGGAATATCGGAAAAAATTATATTCTCAAGATTCAGGAGGATTTATCCACCCACTCGTTTTATAAGTCGTGAGTGAGAATTCGTTTAGGTACAGCTGAATTATAGATTTTCAATGCAAAATTCATAATATGTGTTGTTAAGTTTTTAGTAGTAACAAATGAAAAAAATAATAAAAAATGAACGGTTTTATTGCGAATAAACATAATAGTGATCCAGATAATATACTGAAAGCTGGAAAATAACCAGGTACCTACCAGTTATCACACAACGCTTCTCGTCAATCTAGATCTAGGGCATTGATTAGTCTGAAACAGAATGGTGGGGCGTAGCATGACCCAAATAAATAAGTAAATGATCGTTCTGTGACATCGCACCCATATAAAAAAAATACGACTTTATTTTAGCTCGAGTTGTAACACACTCTGCATAAAAAAATCATGAATGCATTCTTACAGCACACTGAAAGTTTCTGTGGCAAACTACAAACACATTTTCAACATCACTGCGATTCAGCCAAAAAATATAATTTAGATTTTTTTCCATTCATCTCCGGAATCAAAACCCATGCTATTACCGGAAGCACGGGGTCCCACAAGGTGCAGTCCTTTCGCCATACCTCTTCTCGATATAGACAGCAGACGTGTCCAAGCCGGAGAACAACTTCAACAAGTTGGCGCTCTACGCGGACGACACAGCTCTTCTGGTGAGATCAACAAGCCAAGCGCACGTCACTAGATACTTGCAGCACAGGTGGATAGATTATAGGAATGGGCCAACCTTTGGAAGATCAGTATAAACCCTGACAAGAGTCAGACAATACTGTTCACCCGGAGGATGGTACACCCGGAAGGAAACGTCACCTTTAACGGACAAGAGATTCCGTAGACCAACGATTAACGTTCAGGTCTTACGTACGGCAGAGAATAGGAATGGCGAGATCTGCCCGACAAAACCTATTACCAATAACATGCCTAAGAAGTAACATGCGATTGAAAGCTGCCGATGGTAAAGACCGTACTACTACCAATAATCCTGTATGCCTTCACTGCCTGGGGCCAGTGCGCAGCGACATACAGAAGACAGATCCAGTCGTTTATGAACGCGTGCGAAAGGGTCGCCGTAAACGCTCCAAGATATGTACCGAATAGGTACATATTCCAGGATCCATACCTGAACATGCACTACGTAGATGCATATATGAGACAACACACAGAAGACACGTTTGACAGAATTCGAGCGCACGACAATCCAGCGCTAAGCAATCTACACAATGCACTAAACAGGGATGACCCCATATTCCGAGAGAGGGACAAACACAGGAGGCCAACGAAGCAGAACCAGAGACCACCCCCGAGAGTCGCTATCAAGCGGCTCCGGTAAGTATAAAAACTTCTTAACCAGATTTCAAATAAACTTCATTTTCAGATTCACTGGGAAAGAACACTTGCTCGCGACATAAAGACACCCGTCTCCGTTTAGTTTTTGGGAACCCCATGAAGAAATTCAGTTAGGAAAGTCACGATAAAAGAAAACATTAGATTAGAAAGTAAAAGCACCTAAGGCTGACTTTCTACTGAAAGAGGTAAGAGGTCAATCTTGCTGAAGTGCCCATCAGTAAGTTGAGGACCGCTCCGGAGGAGCGGGGGTGGATGGACGAGACGGGATGTTCTGCACACATTGACCGTGTGGAGAAGATTTCAACTCGGGGCACTCAACCCGGGAGGGGGCAAGGGGAACTAGAACAGCTCTAGAATATGATTATATTGGTGTCATCAAAAAGTACTCTAAACTAGGCAACTCTCTCTTCATTTCATAGTGTTTACAAAAGATCCATACAGATTCAAGTTTGAATAGTTTTGTTAAGTTATGTGGTTCATTCTTATGGTGGCGAGCGTCTGCGTGTAAGATTTTTTGCATCCGTATGTAAGGTGAAAAATATACTTCATAACATGTGTGTATGAGGTTGTTTCAAAAGTTCTGGCCATTTTCACGAATCTACTTCAAAATGTAACATCTCAGTGAATACGTATTTAATTTACCCGAACTTTTAATCAGTGCACCTTTCCCAACGTTACACAAGTCGATTAATTCCGTCAGAATAAAAAATAAGTGATTGTTATTCGAGTGACGCAGGCCGTTTTTGCCTGCCAGCAGCAGCCGGCACTGATCAACAGAAGAGGTCTGATACACCACAACGCCCGTCCGCACGCTTCACAAATCGCGGTCAGGAAATTGAATAATTGAGCGTCGAAGTTCTGCCTCACCTACCATACTACCCAGACTTTTTGCCAACCGACTACCATTAGGCGGGTTGGCTGTCCTTGTTCATCTTCCACTGACTAAACCACTGTGCATGCTGTTTTCAGCGAGTGCATTGGCTTGGGATGTGGGGGTTGAGCAAACCGGCATCGGATGCCTGCTTCCACGTAGCTCCGCTGGATATGGGAATAACATAATCACTTGTGGTTATGTCCCTAATTGAATGGCATCCCAACGATGGCTTAATCCTAAGGTGTGTGTATCCGTGCCGAGAGGATGAATGACACTGAGCCTATCAGCTGTCTCTACGGAATCGGGCGCTCTCTCGTTGTAGCATCGCCTTGTCACGGTAATGCGGGGCTCTGCCGTGATTGACCTTCTTTCCCTAGCTACTCGTGGGACCTTTATGGACAGAGTAAACTTAAAAATTCTTTCTGACGCTGAGTCTATAGTGGAGATGGATGTCGAGTTTACGACTCCAAGTGACCTCCCCGTAAATTTAATCCAGGAGCGAGTCTACAGAGGAGATGGATGTCGAGTTTACGACTCCAACTGACCTCCCTGTGAATTTAGTTCAGAAGCGAGTCTACAGAAGAGATGGATGTCGAGTTTACGACCCCAACAGACCTCAATGTAAATTTAGTTCAGGAGGGAGTCTACAGAGAAGATGGATGTCGAGTTTACGACTCCAACTGACCTCCCTGTAAATTCAGTTCAGGTCCGAGAGCTGCGGCGTACGCAGAATCTGTCTCAGGTGGGGGAACTAACCCCCCATGAGCAGGTTTAGCAAACGTTTGCGCTCAAGTTAGGTTTCACCAAAACCTGCACGGCTCTAAGGCATCGTCAGGTGTAGCTGACGTGCAAAAACCCTCATATGGGAAGGTTGTCGTGGGTATCAAGGTGGGAATCTTGCAACTTGACTATCCGACTACCTCATTAACAGAGCATATACTTTGTGCCTGCCCCGCTGGGGACCGAATCAGGTCTTAGTTCGGCAGAGTCGTACTCTTACCATCTAACCTGAAAGACTACTCACCATACAAACTAATCGGCTTCGTTAAGAAGCTGGGTTTGTTTGGCCGAGTGAGAATAGGTGTGAGCCACAATAAACCCTTGCGGGTTGCGGTGGAGGGTCGAATAGACCCACTCACATTGGACCTAACCTAACCTAAACCATCTCAACACTTCGATAGCTTTCTTACCAGTAGAACGTTCGCCAATCAGGACCAAGCAAAAACGGTCCCAAACACACGTTTCAGTAGATGGAACTAACCAACTTGAGTTACGTTGTCAAAAGTGCACCAATCAAATGACGCAAATTTCAATAAAAACGACTTTTGAAACAACCTAATATTATGTTTACTTTCTTATGGTTAACAATGAAGGTATTCTTGAGGTTTTTGATTTCATCAGTTTTTAGTTCGAACTTGTCTTCCGTCGCCTAAAACTTAAAAATGGGAAAACAATCAAAGAGTCAAGTCAAAATCATCAATTTCTTGAGAGTAGTTTCAGAGCTATAGGTGAAAATATACTTCTTCTATAATCATCGATATTGTATGTGACTAATAAAGTTACACAAAAAAGCGTTACAAGTTTTTAAGTCAACTTTTTTTAGAAAAAAATAGGAAAATTGACAAAAAATTGCTTTGCCGTTAAACGTTTTCCCCAAAAACTAATGGGATCTGGAGGATATGAGACTCTAAACTGTGCGAAATTTTTAATCAATATTTCGACTTGTTCTCAGGAAAATGAAAAAGGATTGGACACGACAGAATAGAAAAAAAAAATTTTTAGTTTCTGAACAACTGCAGAACAACCATGGGTCTATCTCTGCAACTAAAAAATTTCGTGTCCGCTGAGAAGTCCCTAGTATATCACTCTTTAAAAGTGGTAATAAATTTCAGTTTGTTTTCATAGATCAAACAGTGTCTGAAGACTGTATCAAGAAGAGATACATACGTACTAGAAAATAAATATTTCGTAATGAAATATCAGAACATTCATCTCTCCCAACTACCCACACAGTAGGTTCTGGTAAATGCCTGCCGGAAAACAACTACTACTCCGACTAATACCACGCTGGATATTGCTCACCAGATGGAGCTGTTACTAGTTAATAATCTTTCTCTTAGATGAAGGTCTCATACATGTAGTCAATCCGCGTTGAAATTAATCGAGTCTCAGGCACTTTGCTGATTGGGTTCGGGTCTTTCCTGCACTGAGGAGAGGTGATACCTCGAAACCAGTCTGTAGGTGATCTACTCGAATAATTTCAGCGTGATCCTGCTGCTGGATAAATTAGAAACATCTGCGGACTAACCTCTGTGAGGTTGCATACGTATCTGTTGGGAAAGTTGTTGTTTTTCAGCAGTTGGTGTGGGTATGGAGAGAAATATTTCGAGATTTTGTTTCAAAATAATCACTTTTTATTTGTTTTTATTGTTACACAAACATACTTTTTGATTTGACGTAAACTGATAGGCTTTACTGACGGATTAAGCAGCACAGTGCAATGAATCAGGAAATAAGGTAGAAGGGCCAACCTTATAGATTCAGCACCGCAGAGTCAAACAACATTTCAATATAAATATGAACTATTGTGATGGGATTCGCACACATTCAAAATTCAAAATGTTCTCATGATAAATAATAATTTAAACAAATAAATAGAAAACAGCTTAAAATTATAATACATATATACAGAAAAAAACTTTGGATGTATACTATTTCATGTTGAGTAGAGCAATTTTTTCTTGGATGCAGTTATTGGACTGAGGAGCCTCTGCAGATTCACTAATATCAGAGTTCAAGCCATTTACGGTAGCGGTCAGCCTCATCTGTTTACTATCACTTGTGTTTAGTTTGTCGATGGCCGATCTCTTACAATTCACTTTGTTGATGCTTTTGACTTTCAAAATGTTTGGTCTATGCAGCAAGTTGGTGTGGTTAAGCAACGATATTGCACGGTACCTATGAGTATTATTCACTAGTTTACGAGTACTGTTTAGGGCCATGAGTATGTCATTCCGCTGGCATTCTAGTTGCTGATTTGAGAGAAGAATGGCTCTACCGACTTTCTTCGTGGAATAGTTAGGAACAGTTACTGGTTTGGGATGTGATTTGTACACCTCCACGTTGGAGTTGTGGTTAGGAATGCTCAAGTAAACAGGCCGGTTTGAAGTAACCGGAGGACTCATAGCTGACTGAGGAGACTCCAAACATATGACGTTTTTCCCTATTTGCACAAACTGAAACAAAAGGCAATGATTAGTGATTTATCTCAACATTATTTTTCTAAAATGTACAATATTCAGTCAGTTAGGGTTATTATTATTTTTCTATGACAACTGAAAAAAAAAGCCAATTCTGTGACCGTTCCTTGTTGGGTGAGCAGGAAAAATGATCCATAAATCACACCTTTGAACCAATCATAGTTGACTAGATTCATAAATCATTACTTTCAAGGCCAATCACAAATGAGCAAATCATTAATTGTGTTTGAATTAGTTTCATTTTGTAAGTAAGCCTGAAGAATTCAACTAATTCAAAATATTCAAAAACAAACACTTTTCCCAAACACCAGAACTGCAACAATCTTCTCGACGCGAGAAAGTTCCCGGAAATTTAACGAATGATTCATAATCGGAGTGTTTTTGGTGAGGAGTTTTAATGGCTTGCTTAGTCTGACTGATATATTTTTTGAAACAGCCCTCACAGCTCATTTCATATTTCTCCGACTACTATTAATTCCAATTGAAGAAAAAACATGTGATGATTGGGATGTGAAAGCAAAAATCAGTCTCCATCAAGTAGATAATTCATTGGACAAAAATATTAATTTTTTTTTTAACCTTATCCAATCGAGCTGAAACTTCACCCATCTCATTTCTTAGCCAATTGGCGGTTTTAAGGGGGGTCGGTCTACTCAAAAAAATTTCAACATTGATTTTTTGTGACCATCCTAATGTTCATTCACTCCAAACTCTGAGACAGCGGAGTTCATTATGTGTCACCTGATGAAAGGAACAATTCATGAGAACCTGACAGTCATTAATAACTTGCCTGGAATGCAAACGTAACACAGTTTTCAGATTTGTATGTTTGTATGTAGTACCTTGTGTTCTAGTTTTACATGTTATTATTCATAGCTATAAGTATGTTGTCCTATTTTTATACTGTTCAATCATTGGGAATTCACATTATTCCGCTCATTGACTTCAAAATTACATTCTAAATTATATTTTTCAATTATACAGGCAGATGACAACATATTTTGACTCTGATTTTTTGTTTGGGAGAGGGTCCATGACATACGAAAGGGAAAGATTTTAAGGATCTGTGGGGTACGATTTTAACCAAAGAAGAACCAATGAAATTGTATGACTAGCTTTAGAGGTGAAAAGTAAAACGTTAAAAAAAGGTGTTACACCAGAAAGACTAAAAAATATTCAAACACCTCTACTACTGAAACAAGTAGCTCATTGGTCCAGACAAAGGTAGTTTTCTATGTACACCTAAAAATAAAATGTAATTTTTTTTAGGATTTTCTGATTGATTCGGCCGTTACTTGATGAAGATCCATACTAATTTCAAAAAATACACCTCAACGATTTGATCTCCACAAGTGATTTTCAAATCACTTGAAAAAGCTAATGTCTTAGCGAAACATGTTGTAATATATTTTTCAAATAAAGTTTGTGGAGATCAAATCGTTGAGGTGTAGTTTTTGAAATTTTTATCAGGAGTTTTAGGAGTTTGGCCGGAGATTATTGTCTTGTAAAATGTCTTCTACTTATGATAATGTTTCAAATTGAGATATAAAATAAAAACTGCTCAGGTGAGAATATAATAAAAATAACTTTTGAAAAACATAAAGCTTCCATCTGAGAGGGACCAAAAGTGAAAAACCTGAATTTGCCCTAATATGGCATCAAAAAAAGGTAGCAAAATAACCACTTACTTGTACAGGGCTAACAACAGATATTGGACTCATTGGCATGTATACGACAGGGACTGTTCCAATAGCACTTTCCTGAGAATGCATATTCATTATATAATTATTATCCATAGTCTTTGAAGGTGTAGTTTCTGATTCAGTCGAAGTTAGTTGCTGAAAAAAAAAACTCAATCAGTTGTGATGTACTAGTTCCTAAATAAAAAATAGTTGAATTTTATAAACACAAGTATTTGAAATATGGACAATGCCTTCAATAAGATATGAACTTTCAAAAGAACATATTTGATTTTCTTTCAGGAAATGAACTGTTTCGAGAGTTAATCAATAATGACTCGCGACATTCCATTGGAAAATTTAGAGATTAAGAGGTTAGGAAAGAGGAGAAGTATTCCCAGAAAATATAATCGTCCTGTTCACTCACTGTTCATCATTGACATATTTCCAGTGAGATGGTGTTATTATGAATAATTGGACGGTACTGCAAAAGGTTCCTGTATGTGTCCCGGTTACGTTTTGGTTTTTTTATAGACACACTTGCAATTTTATTTTACACTAAGGATTTTGGTACCCTACAGGGCCTACATATAGAGTTGATGATCAGCACCTGGCACACTCATCAGATTTTTTGTTGCCTGCGATGCCAGACTGTCCTGGCACCCAGTATATAGTCAATCTATTCTCATCCAGCAGTTTTTCAGTTCTTAACGGAATTTCAATACCAGTCACGATGACACTTCATGTTCATCACTGCCCTGTAGCTGGGATACAATGAGTCGAAAACGGAATGTATGTACATACCAGCCAGTAGGGATGAGAGACTTCCGGTCATAAATATTAATGGAAGAGTGAGCAGAGTATGAATGTGAAGTACTTGGGAATTGTGGTGGATACTGGATTACTATTCATAAACCACCACAAGGGAACAAGGAAAAAAACTGAATGGACTAGCGGGTAAGTTAAGAAGATGGACCGGGAGAGATGTTGTACTGAGGAGAGAATGCGTTAGAATAATATACAAGAAGGTGGCGAAATCTGATAGCCGAATCAGGAGACAACTGAGCGCAGCACAGAGGCCCTTCCTGCTGGCTTCATGTGGAGCTTACAGGACGGCGCCAACGGCTGCGCTTTGTGTGATCTCAGGTATGGCACCGCTTCACGTGGAGGCGAGTGCCAGACACCATGAATGGAGGGTGAACGGGAGAAGAAAGAACGAGGATAGAGTGAAGGGACAGGATAGAATACTCCCATGGATGCAAGGGATGTTGCTGGAGGAAAGGGAGGACGGAAGAGTGACAAAAGTGTATGTGGATGCTGGGGCGAAACTGGAAGACGAACGAATGGGCATAGGCTGGGCGTACGAACGGGAGGAAAATGAATGGGTACAGGGGAACGAAAGAATCCCCGGAGAGAGTAGCGTGAACGAGGCAGAATTGATAGCGATCGAGAAAGTGATAGGTATGGGATATGAACGAGAGTGTGACTGTGATAAGTGATTCTGCCATGGCTGTGGAACGTATGAAAGCAGGAAGAACGAGGAATAAGAGGGTATTGCGAATAGAGAGGATTATAGAGGAGAGGAATGCGAGGGGAGCGCGGACCTGCTTGATCTGGAAGCGCGGCCATGAGAACAACAATCTCGGAAATAAGAAAGCTCACGAGGAGGCAACAAAAGGTATGAGGAACGCTGAGGTCACATGGGAAGTAGTGAGAATAGGTAGTAAGAATGAAGAGAGGAAGAGGATTAAAGAGCGAATCAGGACAGAGTGGCAGAGGAAATGGGACACTGGAGAGACTAGGCGGCTGTTCTACAGATTCTGCAGGACAGTCAGGGGTGAATCACTGAATCTGTCGCGGAAGGCCACCCAGCTGCTTACGGGACATGGTAACTTTCCGGGATACCTTGCCAGGTTTAACCTGGGTCCGGAACTACCTGCGGCTATGGTGAGCCCGAAACGGCAGAACACGTGATAGAAAGATGCATGGATGGAGACAGGGCTGGATGGCGTGAATGGAAAGAATATAAGGAGCGAGAAAATGGGGAGATAGCATTGAGATGAGAGAATGGAAAGAAAAGGGAATGGATAAGGTTTGTCAATGAATGGGCGGAAAGTGTGGTGAGGGATGAAAATGAAGGGTAGAGCGCAGGCTGTTAGCTTGGTGCCAAGGATCTGGAGTGTCAAGGACCTGGAGTGTTGGCGGCGGTCTCCTCCAATGGTGGCGGCTATGGATATTGTTCGAGCATCGAGCCATGTACGAAGCAACAGAAGACATGTATATTTTGATCATTATTGTTAATTATTATTGTTGTAATTATTTTGTATCATTATTGTATGATGATTGTATTATTATGGACCCCTTCTCCGCCAATTTGGAGGAGTAGGGGTTCCCTTGCCAGTGGTGGCGATGGATAGAGGGAAGATGGACCATTGAAAGGCCTTCGGCCAGGACAATATCGAGCGATGGCACTACTCATGCATCAAGTGTGGCCCAGCTGTCGATGAAAATATTGACCAACACAGAATTGAAATTCAAGAGTATGTAAGAAGGCAATAGATATTCATTAAAACATTAGAGGCAATTTCAATCGAAAGGAATAAGAAATTAACATGAATGAAATCTGGCTATCTGTCCTAAATTGTACACAATTAAGGTCATTCAGTCTAACCAATAGTAACGAAGCTACGCACATCACTAATGGAATAAAACCGGAGACACATTCCAATACTGTAATATCTGCTTTGAGGACAACAAGAACATCTTTTCCGTTGCCTCATCGTCTACCTCAGTCAATATTTGAGATGATTTGCAAATTTGATGTCATGATTAAGATAGTTGATTCTAATACATTTCTACATTTTTCCATATGATATAATTTGTTATGACTACAACTATATGTTGTAGATTAACAAAAACACTTCATTTACACATGATAAACATCTCTTCCTATGATTCTAGAGCTCTATGATGTCACAAATCTCTATCTTCTGAAATGATTACCATATTTTCACTATTTGAGGGTAATGTGAGAAATCTACAAATGCAACAAATATTACGTGCATTGTCTATAAGTGGAGGACTGTTGGCAATATAAAAATAGTTTTACTCTTTCCATACTAAATACTTTCGCCAACTCTTCTAAACAAAAACGTTACAAATAAACGAAACATACCTTAGCAGTAAGAACTGAGGTAGTAGTTTGTCTTGAATGTGTTGAGGTGTCGCTAGTTTTAGGCATAATGGGTACGTAGGAAGTCTTGTCTGACGATTCACTGGTGCTTACGACGGCAGCGACAAACGGTACGTAAGTAGTATTTTGAGAAAAAGAGTCTTTTTCCTCTGCCTGACCATTTGGGGACATATATGAACAATTCGAGCCATGTTTCAATTCTTTCTCTTTGACAGTCTTTCTTTCAGCAATCAGCTGATGGATATCTTTGCTACGGCCCGGAACCAATTTTCGTAACTGAATCTGAAAATAATTTTGGCTATTATTAATTCGTTTCATAATTTGAGTGAGGGTACCATTGTCAGGTAGTTTACCATTGTTAAGATATCGTTATACCTATAAGCCTTCTGAAAAAAGTAAATAGTCTTACTGATCTTCACCCTATAAATCCAACATAGGTGTGCAGAAGGTACCTTACTCCCTCAGCTACAAGATTTTGTTGAAAACAGCATATTCTAGCTTCCATTTAGTCAGGATTCTGTAAAGGTCGTATCATGTTCGATATACTTTCTCAAAGCCCTTAACAACAAAGAAGTAGGATCACCCTACATACTGAATATGTCCAAGGCTTTTGATACTGTCAACCTATACAGCCTAATAGACAACTCTATCACTATAGGTTCGACAATCAAATTTTAGAATGCCTCAGAGGGTACCTCTTCAACCAAACACAATTTGTCACAGTAAATGACCATCTAACAAGTCACTCCAAATACTCGAATCCTCAATATGAGCGTACTTCAGGGTTCAGTACTCGCTCCCATTTTTTATATATTCACACCTGACTTTCACCAGTTGATGGATGGAACACTGTATCTGCATCTGTAGAGTAGGGAGGGTGAGTGTAGACTCACAGCACTTAGGCCACATGTGACCCATTGTACAACCTCCCGAGGAGTTGTCTTCCTAGGTCGTCGTCCATCCTGTCCTTTCCAGGAAGGTGGACAGGACACTAGGATACATCTCTCTATGTTTTTTACCACTTTTATTTGTAACTAACGTTACTGCAGTTTCGTCCTATACGAACATTTTCAAATTTATACAATGAACTTATACAATAAAGTGGTAAAAAACATAGAAAGTTTCATTTCTCTTTTCTTCATTATGATTTCCAACCACGTAGTAACGGCTACATCTCCTTTATATCGGGAGGTGTAGGCCAAGACTCCTGATCATCGCCAGATATTTCTTCGACGCCAGCTTTCCAGGGTCGCCTAAGGTGATCCTGGCAAGATTGCATCCTTTGATTCCATCTCATCTCTTTAGAGATTGAGCATGGGTGTAAAATTGGCTAATTCCGCAATTGTCGAAGTCATCAGGCCGTAGTTGCCACTGGGTCGTAAAATTCTTAATCCAGCCGCTTCCTTAACTAAAGAGTCGGCAATGCGATTACCTTTACTCCTGTCGTGCCCTTTAACCCACCTCAGGATAATGTTATTATCTACCGAGGCTTTGGCTAAATCTTGGTGACACTCTAGTACTAGCCCTAAGGTTACACGTTGTCTGTTCAAGGCTAATAGGACTGGTTTGCTGTCAGTGCAGATTGTTATGTTTTTGCCATAAATTCCTTTCCTGGTTATTTCTTTTGTGGCGATTGAGATACCAGCTAGTTATGTTTGGACCACGCTATTATTTTACCCATTCCCCACTTAATCCTTAGGCTTAGTGATCTGGAGTAAACTCCACATCCTGAGCCTTCTTTGGTTTTTGAGCCGTCTGTATACAGTGTGTCAATTTGAAAACTTCCCACCCTCAATATCTCTCTTCCAGTACATAATATGAAAAAATGGTCAGACAGGTCAACTTTATTTGCAAGGGGGACACTCTGAATGAATATTTTCAACCCTCGGGGTTCAACCCCCTAGGAGGGGTGGATGTTACCCTCAGAATTTCAAATGGAAAGGGGGGTCAAGTGGCACATCATTTTGAAGGGCATTCAATTCNCCAGTTCTGTTTGGACCACGCTGGTATTTCTTCCCATTCCCCACTTAATCCTTAGGCTTAGTGATCTGGAGTACACTCCACATCCTGAGCCTTCTTTGGTTTTTGAGCCATCTGTATAAATCCGTATTGCATTTGTAACATCTGACTCTGTGTTCTGCTTGATTTGTATTTTGTAGGGTTTATTAAACACAAACCTGTGTTCAATTGCATCACTGTGTGCCTGCAGCAGGGGTTGCGCAGTAAACGCTTCTCGCCATAGGCCCAGTCTCAATTGACCCATTCCTACTTCGAGGTTTACACCAGCGGTGCGCAATCGTACCATGGCCATTAACGCAACCTCCTTAACGTACAGGTCCAGAGGGGTCAGACCCGTGATTAATTCCATTGCCGCGGTTGGTGTTGTTCTCATGGCTCCTGTGATGTTTAGACAAGCCAGTCGCTGTTTTTGATATAATTTTGGTTGGCCGTTGCTTGTAGAACTTTTGGTCCCCATGCAATGGCTCCGTACGTTAACATAGGTCTTATTATTGCAGTATAGATCCAGGTGACCACACGTGGTGAAAGACCCCATGACATATAATATAATATGAACACACAAATGTCCTCAAAATATAAACCCATACCAAATTGGCGTTATCAACCAAGTTGTTTGATGAAACGTGTCAAGAGAAGAGTGTTGCGGTTCTGGTTTGGGAGCAGTACTTGTCTTTGATTTATTCTACGCGAGAGGTTCTGGTTCTACCTTTCTGAAAAACTGCTTCAACACAGTAGAGATCAGCTTGGAATAATTACATCACTACTCAGTGGAAACTGTCAGTTTCCACTGAGAAGGCAAATGAACAAAACAGGGCTGTAACAGACTCCGCTATAACGGAGACCTTAGCAGCAATGCAAGAATGGGACATATTCGGCTCGTCATATTTAATGAGAATGTTAGGCACTGAATTACAGGACAAGCCAAATCATGTCTAGAATAATATGACGAACATTCAATAACAGATCTGTACAAACTAGTATAGGGAACAGGATTGTTGCGATAGGCCCATGAGGCTGCAATGTTTACTGAAAACAGACAAGTCAGATGGCTTCCAACCAGCAGTAATAAAATTATGGAAGGAAGAAACTATTGATTATACTTTTTCATATTTATACTCGATCAATGAACATTTTTCTTAGTTCATTGATAGCTTCAAGAGAAGTTTGTATAAGAAAATCCGCGAAGGCTTCAGAAATAACATGTGGTTCTTCCACTATACTGATGTTTATTCTAAATGATATGTTCGCAATATAGTGGTTCTATTCATATTTGGTGAAGAATTTATTTTGTTGACAACAAATTATTTCATTAAAAAATACGTACCCTATGACTGGAGCATGTGATAGACCTGGTGCAAGGCCCTCTGTTGCCTTCCACTACGCCACAGTGAACATCTGGATCGAACTCCTTTGTTATTTTTGTATTGCTATTGCTCTTCCTGGATTTCTTATGTCTACTGCTGCTGCTGCTACTACTACTGCTACTTGAACTAGTTTCTGTTGTGGTGGCAGTCTTTGATTTTGGCGAATGATCTGAAGTGGGTTTCGAGGGCGATCTGGGGGAATGAGAGGTAAGCTTTGAGGAAGAAGAAGAGGATGAACTAGATGATACTCTGGTTTCGGATTTACTAGAGGATGTGGTAGTGATAGTAGTATGAGTAGATAAACTGGATGAAATTGTTGATATTTTTGAAGGTTTTGGTGAAGATACTTTAGGAGTTGACACTTCCGGAATGGCTGCAGAACCGGCAGTGGCGGCTGTTGATGGGGATGGAGGTTTCTGAAATACCATATAGAATTTTCTTTCATTGCAGAAACACTGAGAATAACCCCATTTTAGGCGTTGAGAGTTGGGGAGTGATTATATCAATTTCCCTAAACATTTTCAGAAGACAGTTTTTTCTCCTGATTGCTCTTATACTTATGGAGGATGTATTTTAGCATACGCTAGGGAATATTTATTATCAGAGTTTCTCAACAGTTCAGTAAAATCTCATCAACTACTGGATAACTGTTTGAGAAAAGTACGCATGAAGTTATTTTATGTGATATGAAAAATACGATAATACAATATCACTCATTTTTTCTGTAAAATAACTGACAAAAATCAGATTACATTATCGAGAGAACGGATGTTCAATTGCAAGTGGTTTTCATGAAGGTTTTTGGTGAAATCAGTCACACCTTTCTAATTGAAATACTGCGTATGTCAACCAAGATTTGCGTCAACATCCCTTATAAGGATGTATATGTTAAAGGTTATCAGTCACCCCCTTTTGCGATTACATGATATGTTACCACAGGGGAGTCTTTGAGACCATTAGTTTAGCCTCGAGAGCAAGAACGATTCGGGACGGTTCAAAACAGTTTAGGATCATTTCGCAGTCAAAACCAGAACAGAGGATTCATCAGTCTGAAATTATCCTCAATAAACCAGAACGCTCTATATCAACTGCGCATGATCCTAACGTCCTAGAACCTGAATTTCGCAGAACCAGAACAAACCTAATGTGTGCGGATGACCTCAAGGTTCATGGAACCATCAAAAGACTAGGACTGCGAGAAGTTGCAAAATGATGGTGATCAATGAAGTATGAAAACGCTTGACGAAGCTATCGCATAGCGAAACAGTAGATTGTTCAGTGAAAATCTCACAATAAAGTTTTACTTGAACACGGATGCATCGTTGAAATCTGTAGCAACAATAGATAGTTGCTACAGATGCATAAAAAAACGCGTTTTCAACACCAAATAGTAAATTATACCATAAAAAATTTAATTTGATAGATACGACATTTAGGACTAATGATGGATTCAAAAACGATGTATGACATTGACCTAGAAAAAACCTTCAATAAGTGTAATCCGTTATTGGAAGTCATCATCAAAAATATAAAAATTTCAGAAACACAAACATTCTGTTGAAATTATATTACTCTTTTATGTACATTCGTTTGAACATTTAACTGTCGTTTGCAATCTACAGTTCACAATTTACCAGCTAAGAATTGAAAGTGTTCAAAATAAATTCGTCCAACCCATAAGATAAATAATTTTACCAATAATCAATGTCTACTTTCGTCCAGTTTCATTAAATATTCCCTGTTATCTCGTATAGACAGAAAAAAATTATCTAATTTATGGATGAGTCACAAAACAAATAATCATGCTAATCGTCAATTGTTGGTAACAAAAATATCATTGAATACGCACCCTTATATAAAAACTTTCATATAGTGGCCTAACTACTAACTGTTAGTATCACCTAACTGCACCGGTTAGTATTATTACTAATATTAGTATTTGTTAGGCCACTATCATATAAAAACACTAACATAGTAGTAAAATTTTGACATAATGATCTCCTGAGGATGCTTAGTTGGTTAGTGTTTTCAATAGTTTCACGGTATAGTTATTTAGTAGCTGTTTCGCATATTTATGCTTTTATTCAATCTATACTATCTAATTTCATTATTTTCCATTAGATAATTTTATCTTTGAACTGAAATTCATATATTTGTAACTTGCCATATATTACTATAATATGAAAAATGGTCGAATGAAAGTCATAAGAAAAAAATCCTTTTTCATTTCTAATGGTTTTGGCAACATTCAAATTTGACACTTTTCTGAACATACTTTGATTTGATTATGCAATTATCAGTTATAATGTACAAAATATCAACGATATTTTTTTAGGAACAAAACACAAGCACTACAGGAAAATCCTTAAGGCACTCTAAGAGCGGTGCCTGTGCGAAAGTATCAACTAACATTGAATCGCTAGACATTAAATTTATTTGGAAAAACGTTCTCAAGAAGTTTATTTCACATAAACTCAGTTCAGAAGAAAGAGTTCTTGAACAGTGAAGTTCGAAGTGTACTGAGTTGAGCCTCAATACGATGAGCAGCCACAGTCCGTCGCGTATTTCTGATATGTACCGCTCTTGATGGAATTAAATGTGCCAAGTTACTTGAACACCTCCCGTGACATTATCTATAAAATAGTGACAAATCTCCAACCTTTCTTCGATGTTGCAGACTATCAAGATTGCAAGTGATGTTAGTGTCTCCAATCAGGCAGATGGCTCTTTTCTGGATGAAAAGAGAAATAAAAATTTCTATGTTTTTCAGAACTTTACCAGAAGTGGTAAAAAACATAGAAATTTTCATTTCTCTTTTCATTATGATCTCCTACCAAGTAGTAACGGCTACATCCATCAATTTTTCTTTTCTGGATGGAATCCAGCAGCTTCAGGGTATGATTGGGGGCGGAATTCCATTCATTAGAACAATACTGCAAAGGTCTGATATGAGCTTTATAAAGCATCAAAAGTTGCTAAGGTGTGTACAAGCTTTTGAGAAACAGCCTTTCCAGTTCCAGCGATATAATTGTGCCAAGACTTACTGGTGTCCGATTCAACCCCCAACAAACTTATCGAAGCAGAAAGCGGAATTGTCTAACCTGACATTATTATATCCAGTTCGGAGACATTTATCTTCTTGAAGAAAACCGATGCCTGGGTGTACATTCGCAGCCGATGTCCTGGAATCCAAATGGAATGACAAGCCAAGTGTGTTGTCGTCAGCATATATTGGATTCTTGTTTTTTTCCAATAAGTCGTTGATATACAATAAAAAGAGGGTTGGAGACAATATGGATCCCTGGGAAACATCAGCGTTGATGGTATACATATTCGAGAGATATCCATCGATGGCCACTTGGAGGGAACGTTCTTCCAGAAAGCTGGGGAGCCATACACAAAAATGATCCGACAAGCCATATCATCAAAGTTTGGCCAGCAAACCCTCATACCACAACAGCTTTTGACTCTCCATGTTTCTCGATTGCGTTATTAGAAGGTTTGTTGAAGCATGCATTGACTTTTGGTTTCTGTGAGTACAAGAATATGAGGACTGTTCGTTTGCAGATGTTGATGCATTGAGTTTATGAGTTGCGTCCTCTAATGTTGCAGAAATTGATTTTGAAGTTGCTAGTGGGCCTCTTAGCAACTGCAGTTACCATGTTATTTCTCTGTGAACTGATGTTAAAAGGACCCTGCTGTCAGAAATAGTGGTTCTCAAATGACTTCTGCATGATGATGCCCTCATCCCCCACCCGGATATCTGATTGGGTGGAGTATTTTACCTAAGGAGTAACTTGACCCTAAGAGCACCATCATGCAATTTTTTCTTATATTCCCACCGTTGAAACCGGAAACAGCCGGCACAGCAACGAAACGTTAGCCCGAAAGCGACTTCACGTCACCTAAGCTATTGCAATATCTCACCGGGCGATGCCGGATGGGACCAGCATCTAAAATTTTTTTAATACGCTTTTATTAGCTTCACCTGTATGTATGTTTGTTTGTAACTCTCAAGCTCGGAATCTGTATTTGACAGAATGGGGAATGTTCCTCAATTTGGGTTATTACAGCAAATGCAAGTTTGAACAAAATAAAGTTGAGTTTAATTCATGAGTTTTTCAAATTCACTTCGAAAAGTATTCAAATTGATGTTTCAAATGTTGGGTTTTAATTTTTAAAGGAATTTGTTTCTAATTCACATATTGGCAACAGCGCCTATATCAAGTTGAAATAATTTATACGTACCTAGATATTCTACTTCAAAAGGGGAAAATTATCTTTATAAATCAACAATTAAGGCAAAATATAAAATATAGTTCAATACCACCTCCACAAGCCTCATTAACAACAGTTGTGTTGCTATTTCTTTATATAAAAGAAGATAGGTTGGGTGCACAAAATGTCATATGTCACAGAATGTCTCTGAACTCGGAACATAAGAACAGAACATCAGAATAACAACAGAACAGCACGACGCCTCTGAAATATGTCATCTTTGTCTCATACAGGTAACAGATTCATTGTTCTTTATTAGCTATAACCGATGTTGCCAAATAGTGAAATAGAAACGAATCCCTTTAAATGTTGAATGCGATAAAACGAAAACGATAAAGTTAACAATAAACAAACAATTTGTGTATTATTAGAATTGACAAACTATATTGACCCATATAAAGATTTAATAATAACATAAGATTCAGAAGGTCAGTTGGTCAATGAGAGAGCGAACCAGATCTCGATTCAAGTTAAGAACGTAGTTTCTGATTTGATTATTTTTTTCAACATTTGACAAGAATTTATATTCATTATATTCACACGTTAAAAGGTAAGACCTCGTTAGTCCTTATCGCACAAGTTTCGACTTCTGAGGGTTGTCGTTCGTAGGGGTGCGACAGCTGGTTAACGGAAAAACAAATTTTTAAACAGATTATACTTCATTCATACTTCAATACAATTCAACGATAAATCGGTCATTGACAAGTGTTTCGTCAATAATTCATTTTCGTTACGGTCCAGCTATAGATTATGGAACAAGTCCAAGAAATGTGGTACTATTCCGATATTCATGGAATTCAAGGATGGACAATTACCGCCGCTGTATACAGTCCTAGATCGATGAGGAAATGACGCCAATACGTCATGAAATCGCCGTATAAATGTTTTACTATCGACTGGTAATATGGAAATACTCTTCTTTCTAGAACAGGATTTTTCTGTTGGCTCAAGTTTGTCCAAAAATACTGATCAAGTACAATATAATACAATANGTACGCGATAGAAAACATCTGCAGGTCGCTTCGTTTTGATTAATTTTGAATATTCATAAATGATATTTATTCATACTTGTCATATTTCAGATGAACTCCAGTTGAGTATCAATCACGTCTGAAGAAGCAATTGTGAAGCAAGCGAA